AGAGGGGCCGGGGGGAGGAGGAAGAGACAGGAGTGAGAGGGAGGGAGAGAGCAAGAGAGACAGAGGATGGGGTGAGGCCCTGGGCGTCGAGCACCGCCAGAGCGTGCCCCCGGCTGGGCCTCTCCATGGTGCCAGAGCCCCGAGCAAAGGCTGGGGTACAAGGGGTGTGTTAGGAGGCGACCTCAGGAAGTGGACGCCAGTGAGGCGGGGCACCCCCAGCTGGGGCCGGTGGCTGAAGACAGGGGTCTTCTCGGTGCCTCCGAGGTGTGGTTCCTCTGCCTGCACCCTTCCAGGCTTTTTGGGAAAAGACGTTTTGCCTCCATGTAACGACTGTTTTCTCGGACTGCTGTGAGTTGCCTCTTGAAACTTTTCTCGCATTTCTGGGACTCTGGGGCTGGGGGAGGAAAGGGCCTTCCCCTCGATCCAGTCTCCAAAGAGCCTTTAAATGGTGAAGCGACATTCACAAATATAGGCCCTACAGGGCACTCCTGTCGGTTTCAATATTTGGTTCAGTGTCAGGCATGTTTCCTTCAGAAAATGAACTTAATTATTGCGATCGTCTATTTTTAAAAAACTTTAAATCCAGAAGAATGATTATTAGCACAGAAAGGGTAAACTGAGGCGAGTGGGCCGGTGCCGGTACTGGGGGAATAATGCACTCAGAGGCAAGTGTGGCCCTGAAGGGCCAAGAACTGGGTATATTCAAGGGCCTCTGGGGTAAGGGGCGCTTGGGCCCTGAGGGGTCTGGGCCAAAAAGAATGTCCATGGGAGTCCCCTGAGTCTCCAGTCCTGACCTTGCCAGACAGTAGCATGCCGTGATCCCGGGTGGTGGGCTAGGTGGGAAGGGACAAGGGGAGGGGTTTTTCCTGTAAGAGACCTGCCAGACCTTTCCCATCCACAAGCTCCTTAGCCAAAAGGAGGACTATTATCGTTTCTATGGCTCCAGCCAGCTAAGGAGTGATCTTTGGCTTTCTGTCTTCCACAAGGAACCTGAACGTCTCTTGGAGATGATCATGCTAAGCCCTGAAGTGAGAGGTTGGGCTGTCCTCGCCTTGCATCTGATGGAGTTTTCCTTTGATCTGCCGAAGGGTGGGGTAGGCTGCCGGCTTGGCCTGCCGTAAAATGTCTGAACGCTTCCTAAAACCTGCCTATTCGAGCTGTGTCTATGTATGTCGTCAAACTAGTGCTAGATTCAAAGCAAAAACAGCAATGCCGAGGCAAAATGTGAGCTGAGTGTATTCTAAGTTTCTCGGGGTCCCTGCTTTTAAGCATGATGTTAAAGGTTGAGAATATTCCCAGTCGCTGGAAGCTGCCTTGAGGATGAAGGTGTGTTGGCAGGACACGGGTCAGGGCTCAGGTGCCCTCGGTGCTGGGGCTCCATGCGGGTGGTGTGGTCATCTGTGAGTCACAGTCCGCATCTGCCCACTCCAGCACCCAGCTGGTGAGTAGCCGTGGTGGCTGTGCTGCTGGAGGGATGGCCAGAGGTGAGCAGAAGGCCTTAGTGGCTCCGTAGCTTCCGCCCAGACGGGGCCAGCCCAAGTCCCACGGCCAAGCTCAGTGTCGGTTGGGGTTGCCCCTCTCAGGGGAGACTCACTACAGGACAAGAATCCAGTGGCTGTGTCCACTCAGCTGTCCGCTGAAGTCCTTCCAACCACAGCCTTTAGATAAAGACAGGCCTGTCTGCAACGCCCGAGTCCCGCCTTCTCCTGGCACGGCTGGGGCATACCCCACGTGTGTTTTGAAAGTTGCACAGCTGCCCACGGGGAGCTGGGAGTCGCTTGCCTAGGCAGCCACGACCGGCACAGAAGCCTGCAGGTTTGCCTCCTCTGTCACCCGTGCTGCGCAAGACACCTGAATGTGTGCGGGCTTAGTTGTGTGTCATCTGGAGTGGGCCGTGGGTGCCTGGGTTAGGCATTGCTTCTGGGGTGTCTGTGCTGGTGTTTCCGACAAGGTCAGCCTTGGAGTCCAAGGATCTGTAAGGAGGTGCTTCCCAGGGTGCCTGGGCGTCAGCCGGTCCCTTGAAGGCTTATGTGGGACAAAAGGCAGAGGAAGGAGGAGTTGGCATCTCGTCCTCTCCAGCCCTCAGGGGACTCACCGCTGGCCCCGGGCCTCAGTCTCCAGACCCGGGCTGGG